ACATATGATTTTAATTGCGTTTCTTACTTAATGGAGGCACTGCAAGTGTGAAATAGTGTTTGTTTTTTTTTGGGGGGGGGGGGATTTGTTTGTTTTTTTTTACATTGGCGTAATATCAACAAAGTTTTACGCACATATGTAATGGAAACGCAGCTACTGTCAAAACTTACTCCTTCATTTGTCTCACACACTGAGAAAAGTAGTGTTATTGGTAAAGCTATTTGTCATTTATAGACAGTGCAGATGACGTGTTTTGAGAGAGATGCAATAATTTTCCTAATGCCATCAGCAGAGGTTTTGTGCTGAATCATAAAAAAGTACACATTAAAGTAAAACGATTGATTTAATTTCCTGGAAATACTCTCCTAAATATGAATTTTGTTGTTCCAACCCCTCAGTTTTGAGCTACTCTTTCTCTTAAAACCAGCTTTCTAGTTGTTTAACAATTTTGGGGTGGAGGACCGCTTTGAAGGAGAGAAATCTGTCCTACAGACCTACTTATTTTTACAGAGCTTTGAAGAAAATAAGAGCGCTCACTCCTTTGACATATTTCCATTAGGGCTTTTTATTTTTGCCTAGCAATCAGTTTTCCATTTACAGCCTTTACAGAGGGGGAGGTTGCATATGCCGAGTCATCACTTGTGTATGGCAGAGAATATACTGTTTTCATGTTAAAAAAAGTCTACTGTAATATGACCTGCTTTAATAAAACATTAGAAAAACCTGCTCTAATTTATTTACAGTTTGTACTTTGACGATTCTTAGGCTTAAAGTTTATGAACTATGAAGGGTCCTCTAGTTATAACTCTTTGCACGATAATTAAACGACCAGCTCAGTTTGAGTCGGCTTTTTTGGACAGGAAATATGGACTAATTCCAAACACTCCTACCGGTTTTGTGGCTGTTCGATTCAAATGAAATCTGCCTCCGAAAGCTCAACGGGATTTGCGTCTAAAAATGTTGGAAGGCGCTCCCCTCCTCCCTCCTGACACTCTGGCCACTTAATTAAATTAAGAAACGGGGAGTATTTACGCCCTGCAATCCTCTGCAGCCTGACAACTCATTAAGATATGCTAACAAAAAGCAGGCCTTAATAAGCTGTGCAGGCCATCCAGAGAAACAGATTAATTATACAGCATGAGCTTACCAGGCCAAACTCTTAGCAAGTCTTTAATAAAGCATTCAGAACTTTTTTTTTTTTTTTAAACCAAGGGAGCTGATTTTGAAGAGTTATCGACCAGATCATGCAAATCTAAATCAAGCAATTGGACAGAAATGGTTCAACTCCTGCCTTTGGGTGTGGACCTTCTCTGAAAAAGACACACTCTTGTACACACTCTTACCTGTCTGCTGATTTTAGCTGGCTTAGAGGAGGAACAAGATGGAAGTCCTTATTCTCTGTGAATATAGCATCTTCTTTAAAATCAAGTGTTTGACTCTTGTCTCGTCCATGTCTTTTTAAGACCGATGGACTGAAGGAGGGCGACTACATTGTTGCCGTGGGTGACATAGACACCAAGTGGATGGCTGTCGGTGACATGATGCGACTTCTGAAAGACGTGGATGAGGAGGGGATTGAAATCCAGGTGGTCAGCGTGATCGACAACAGCCCTCCCATGGTATGTCTGACGAATTCCTGAAAGAAAAAAAAGAATTAAGGAGGCTCTTGTCAGACAAATGTCAGAATTATTTCCACTATGTTGCAAATGTATTGATACTCTTAAAATATTCATGTCAAAACCAAAAAGTGAATGCTGGACAAACTACACATACATGTAGTGTTGAAGGAAATGATGCTTGGTTGAAGTTTATTAGACAAGTTTAGTATGATACCATTACTGCAGCACACTTGCATATTTCAGACTGGTGACAAAAGCAGGAAATAGCTAATAAAAACCACATCCTGTGTCTACACAGCCTACCAAGAGCGCCACCTTCAGCGGAAACCTGCCCAAGACCTACTCCATGATTTGCCTGGCCCACAACGACGAAGACAAGCCCCCCAAGTCTCGCAAGGTCATCAAGAAGTCGTCGTTCCTCAGCTGGGGCCTGAAGAACAAGATGAAGAGCGCCAGCACCTTGAGCCTGCCCACGGACGACCACTCGGGGGCGCTCACCTGGAACAAACCCATCCCCACGTTCCCCACCTCCAGCGCTTACAACAACGACAACTTCCTCCACTGAGCCAGTGCTCTGCTGTATCTGCGCCGGATGCGCTTTCGTATGGAGTAGTTGTCACACATTTTGGTGTTTGGTGCCAAAAACGGCACGCAGGCTGCCCGTCTTAAGAGTGTCAGCAATAATGGGAAACCATTTTATTCCATGCGAGCGCATGTACAGCACAGTGTGACTCCAGTTACCATTCATCTTAAGACACACACAAAACAAAAACTCTAAAATTTGTGAGCGTACCCATGCCAGCGTCTACTGCTTTTGCAAGGCAGTGATTAGAATGTGGTCTAAGAAGTCCACAGCATTCCTGCATACATGAAGGACATTGTTACAAAAAAACATCACACAGCCGATCAGTGAGGGAAAACTAAAAGTGCTGTGAAGTTTTTTTTTAAGCCTAGCGAGATTTTTTTATTTTATATTTTTAGAACGCAATATCCGATAAGCTGCTAAATCATACCTTTAGTTTTGTGTTACTGTCTTCTTTTCTTTTTTTATTTGTATTTTGAGAGACAGCCTTTAAAGATGGTGTTTGAGCTTCGTGCCATGTCTGGGACGCTGTGTAAATAAAGAGACCTTTGTATTTTATCTCCTCACATGCTTCCATGCCCGCAACAAATCATTTACAGATCTTATATCTTCGTAGGAAGCTGGAGCCGAGCATCTTTATTAATGTGAATCTGTACGTAGTCGAATCTATGTTAATAGAAGGGAAGGTTGTGGTTACACTGATGTTTGCGACGCACACTCTGACAAATGAGTGGCTCGGATGAAAGCCTGCAGCCGAGCGCCTTAACGCTAACAACTCACATTTTGTGCTGACACTCCTCAGTGTTGGACTGTATCTCTTTATCTACAAAGTAGATTCTTATATTCGTTTGATAATCAAATTATTTATGTTGTTCAAAACCGCAAAAATAAATATATATATTTACTTTTTAAGTTTAGTTCAAGTTCTAAATTGTTACCTGATGGATTTCTGTCTTTTGGAGGAATGTATTTTACTAGCCTTGGAAAAATTGTCTTCTACCTTTTTTTTTGTTTTGTTTTTCTTTTCTAATGTGTATTTGTAAATGTTGTCATAAACCTATATAATATTCGGTACTGTCTGCGTTTACCTAACACTGTTTTAAGGTGCCATGTGTGTTAAATGATGAAGTAATGCGTATGGATGTTAGCTTTTATTTTTTGTGTGCGTTAACGCCGCAGTGCCTGGTGATGCTGAGTGCCTTAGTGTGTATGCAGAGGGTTTGGTCTCCTTTTCTTGTAATGCTTTCTGGTCGCTCGATGTGCTGCACTTTGTGCTGCATTGTTAGGTCTTTGCCATGTATGTTCACTCAAATAAAACAGAATCAACAAAAATGGTGACTTTTCTGAAGTATTTGTCAGGCTTTGTCTATCTGGACCCAACGATGCGGAGCAGGTGAGAAATGTCTGGAATGAGGTTTGACCGACACACACCTCTTAAAAAACTTTCATCAGTTTTTCCTTTTTCTTTTTTTTTAAAGTCAGGCTGGTACCACATGACATCCTAATCCATCATTCCACAGAATGAAGGAAACATGTGATTACATTTTACTCGTTTGAACTTTTTATGGCCTAAAAAATTGATTGCTGGGTGTGATGTGTGCTCTAAACTTAAATGGGACTTTTTTTTTTTTTTGACAAGTGAAAGTTTGTTTGTTGAACTTTTCCCAGTATGTCGGTATAGAAAATGTAATCCAAATATAAATCGAATTAATTACATACAAATTTTTCGTCCTAACAATGCCACAGTATACGTTGTAGTTGGCTGTTCTTGGGACTGTTCAAGAGCTGACTGTGCAAAGAGGGATGTGTCACTAAAAGAAAACAAAGATGAGGGGTAATGGCTATGTTCATCCAAGACTGTAACACTGCAAATGTTTTCAGTCCGAGGCTTTCACATAACCTCTGTAACAAACTGTTACGTGCTGCAAAACACAAAATTCTGTCAGGAATTTTTGACTAGTTTCTAGTTTCTATTGTATTTTTGTACAATAGAAATAAGACAAAAGTAATTCAAAAGTCACTTTTCAGTAAGCTTTTTTAAGTCAGTAATTCTCAAGTATTAATTTAAAAAGTACTAGTTACACTGGCGAATTCTTTCACTTATAAAAAGATGATTTATTTTTCCAAGTGGAAAAAAATCCACCAGTGGAACTAGTACTGTCTGTATCTATATTTAAGAAATATTAACTAATATAATGCAATTTTTTTATACTGAAAGTCAAAACAGACTGGAAGCCAAATTTTCTTTTGTCAGATATTAAGTTACTCTGTCACCATTTACTGTAATCCAAATGTAATGTTACAAAGGTTTGAATTACTGTCTCAAGTCTATGCAATGGAGATCTCAACTTGGTGTAGGTTGTAGAACTAAAAGTTACTTAGAAAAACTGGATTTTCCAAACTAAATAATAATTATGTGTTAATTATAGCCAGTTTATATAAAATACAAATGAAAAAATATCAAGTATAAAATCTAAAGTCTCTTTTCTTTCTTTCTTTCTTTCTTTCTTTCTTTCTTTCTTTCTTTCTTTCTTTCTTTCTTTCTTTCTTTCTTTCTTTCTTTCTTTCTTTCTTTCTTTCTTTCTTTCTTTCTTTCTTTCTTTCTTTAATGCAGTTTAGGTTTCAACCGATGTTATGCTTTTTTTTTTTATTTAATGGGACACACACGCCCCCTGGTGGACAGACTGTTGGTCGTTGGAAACACCGTTGCTAGGGGATTTAAAACGGTGTCTGATTGGCTGGATTTGAGCAGGGAAACCAATCACCGCTTCTTTTGCAAAGACATGGTTTCCCATGGTTAAGCGTCTAGATACCGCGGCTGGTAAATCAGTATCCTTTTTATTTAGTTAGCTTGTTTATCGTAGGCTGTTTTTTAAGAACAGAGAACTCATTCCTACCATATGAGAAGAACAAGATAGCGGGTGTTTTTTTTTCAAGACAGTTTGGCGATTAGTTTGTAAAGTCTTTGTGTAAAAGAAAAGCTTTTTGTCCGTCAAGGTAAAGAGCTAAAGGTAAATCAGTTTCATAATGATGAAATTCAACTTCAGACGGGAGAAAGACAAGGAGTTTGTAAGTTTTCCATTATTATTATTATTATTAGCACTTTCCAATGTTTAACTCGGTTAACATGCCATGTTGTATTAGCTTTAGCATAGTGTAATTAGAGTCACTTAGCTTTTCTTGTGTTCAGCTGACATTTAATAATGTCCGTACAATATTAAAACATTGTTGGTTTAATATCGACTGTCTGTCGGAGCAAGTGGCGAGTATTTACAGCGCCGTGCAAAATGATCCATCTGTCTGAAATTGTTTTTGCTGGGCAAACACTAATTGCAGTGGAGTTTTAAATGAATAGCAACACAAATTAAGCAGTGAGTGTAAGGTTTTGAATGATCTCTTACAAATAAAAATCACAGTCAGTTCTTTGTGCAGCCACCTGTCTCTGTAGGAATGTCTACCTGGCTTACAAAACTTCACAATGATGTGCTGATTTGTGTTGGTTTTGAGTAATTATAACCAAAGAGAAATTCAACCAGGTTACACCTGAAAACGTCACTGAAAGCATTAACCTGACAAATGCAAAGCACTGTTGCCACTGACATTCACCTGCATCCCTCATCCAACATTTCCCCTGACCCCCATCCAGTTTCATCGTTGCTATAAAATAACATTACTTGTTATTTTATTTCCAAGTCCTGAACCTCTGTACAAAAACAGAGTTATTGTCTGTGTGTGACAGGCTGACCCTGTTATCTCTCCCCTCTCGATGTGTTGTGTTGTGTAGAAGCACATAGCTCATGGTTTGATCCCTGCCGCCTCCATCGCTCCTAAAGCCGCCGTGCCTCGTACTCCTCCCCCTCAAAGCCCAGACCCCTCACCTGAGAGACATAGGTACCTCACACGCTGCCTTTGTCACCTTCAACCTCCAACATCTTTTCACAATTTGCACTATTTTCCTAGAAGCCTTTTTTTTCTTTCTCTGTTCTTCTTTTACATTTGCAAGGTCACTACTGAAATGTTGTGGACTGACTGCTATTGTAATCAATATTCAACTTTAAGGGAGATTCCACAATTGTTGGCCCTCTGGTAAAGGTGTGCAAAAAGCCACAAAAACAAAAACAAAACAAAAAAAGTAATTTATTCAGCGAAAGAATTTTATTTTGATTCAGTTATCATTTCATTTATTGTCTACTCTTGTTTTAATTACAGCTCCTCACAATAGTGAAATGCCTTATGATAAATTAAAAAAGCAAACAAACAAGTGAACAGGGTAAGTGGATTTCTGCTTTGGGTTCATAGCAAAAATAGAGCCCAGAAATTGATTGTTTTTTTTTTTTTTTTACATTAGTGAATACATAAGTGTATTCACTAATGTAAAAAACAAACAAACAAAAAAACGAACAAAAAAACCACAAACAAATAAAATTGATCATTTCCACCCCAACAGCAACATGTTTCTGAGAGTGTTGCTTCTGGATGATGTCTAATCATAGGGGCACTAAGACATTCATCCAGCAGTCTGCTGTGTTTTTGAGTATAAAAAAAAAAAAAAAAAAGTTTGAAGTTGACAAGAATTTGGAAAATTTCACTCTCTAATTATGTATCGTTGTTGTTGGAAGACATTGTTAACAACACCAAAACTCCAACTATAAACTTGTAAAAAAAAAAAGGCACAGGGGGAAACTTGCAAGCCTGTTGTAGTTTCTTAATGACTTTCATGGTCAAATTGCATGAAATTTGACATTCCATGCAATGGGAAATTCTTTCACATTTCATGAAACAGCAAATGTCACCTAATATTTGACTGGCATTGAGAACGTGAATGTATAGCACTTCAATAATCAGCTTGCAGATGGAAACCCCATTGGAACACTGCAGAATGAGCTGAAGAGAATGGAGGATGAATAGAACTGAGCTCTTAAAACATCTTTACCAAGAGTGTGAGTGTAAGAATATGAGGTGCTTTTAACTTATTTATTGGGCTGAACCGAGATACTAACTTATCTTTTACAGCAACTCATAAAATGATATCTTCTGGCTTAATGAGCCAAATTTGACACAAACAATAATTATTGTTTGTGCCTTTTTGCTATGCAACGTCTGTGTTCACATCCACAGATCGGCGTTGGCTGCAGCTATCCTGTCTTCCTCGCTGACGGGACAAACGTGGGTCATCCCGCCCGCTCGGCCAAGGTCCTTCTCTGAGACAGATCGTTCCGAATCCTTCCTTTCTGAGCCAAACGGCAGCAGCGTGCTTTACTCAAGGTGAATTCTCCTCTACAGCTGCACTGCTGTCCAGTCTTCAGAAAAGTATCCCTTTGAGGCTACAAAATTTAGTGAGCCACTCAGACCTTTGAGGCTACAAAATTTAGTGAGCCACTCAGAGTTCCTTCCTAGACTTGCATCAAAGTCCAAATTCTGCCTTTTCCACCTGGAATTAAAGTCAGTTCATAAAAAGCGAGATAGGTTTTCTGTCATGTTCAGTCTTCGAATCACTTTACCTTCAACAGAGACAGATGGTCAGAGGATTTGGCTAGCCGGCCACACCTGTCGTCCCCTGATCACTCCGAGGGAGAGTTGGAAGACGACAAAGACGGAGCTGATAACCAGGATGATGTGGACGAGCATGTGTATCAAACTCTGGACAGACGAGAGGATCTTAGAGTGTCAGAAACGGTTCATAACCTGCCTCTAGAAGCAGAGGTAAGGAAGCACACTTTTGCTGTGTTATACAACATCAGATAATGTTTTTGTTGGAGCTGTATAGTCTGTCTGCTCTGACATATTCAGACAGAAAAAGATTTGTCTGTCTGACTTCCTGTTTCACCCGTCTCTCTTCCAGGCCGTTCTGTCTCTGGCCTCTCACGTATCGGGTAGAAGAGTTCCATCTCCAGGTACTGACTTTACTCTACACATGGATGGGTTATAGTAGCCTATGTAGACTCAGTAGAACTGCTTCAGAATAAAGTGATTGTAGCTCAGAAGTGATGGAAACGTTTATCACCAGCATGAGAAAGCATGAGGAAGTTGCTCCAGTCAGGAATCTTCTGCCAGATCCTGGTTTTCTTTGAGGTCTGAACTTTGGATATTTTAAAGCATATCAACCTCTCTTCACCTTTATGAGAGGTTGATTAAAATCACAGCAACATGCAAAAAACGCATGCTATAGGTTGATGTTTTCATGGACAGAAAACAGTGGGAGTTCATAGTTTTGAGGCAAAACTAATTTAAAATGTTCCGAATACTTACTTGACTAATTACTAAATGAATGTCATTAGAACTAAATTATATTCGCTATTACTTGAGCTGTGTCCAGGCATTAGATGGTGAGGACCTATAATATTCTACTGTGCACGTTAATAAAGTGATCCATACATGATCTCAAATGCATCACTCAGGTACGTGTACTTTTCCTGCCGTTACACTCATTCTTTACAACTTCCAGATCTCACTGAGGAATCAAGTGGCCAGTCTCCAGAAGCCAGAAGGAGGAGAGAAACTCTCAGAAAGAGCTCTGAAAACCGCAAGAAAGATGTGAGATGTATGTGTTTCCTGTCACCTTCTGTCGCTCTTATTTTTATTTATTTATCTTCATTTATCCACCAAACAATAATTGAATTTCCAAACAGAGATCTCTTTTTGTTTTCTTGTTCCTTTGTTGTTCTGCCTTGAACTGAACTTTCAGTAGGAAATAGATGTTTCACAGTCATTTGTCTAAATGATTAGGAAGAACTGGCTGTTTCACATCAAGTAAGGTAAAATGTTGTCGGCTACATACTGAAGCGTGTCATTTTACCAGCATTTAAAATTCTTCTGATGTTTTTTGTTGAGCTGTCACATACAATCCAAAACAACAGAAAAAAAGAAAAGAGTAACATTTGTGACAAAATGTGGGTGAAGACTTTTGCAAGGCACTACAGTTGTTTTTAGCCAGCAACCATGTGTTACGTTCTGAATCCACTAGAGGGCAATCTACCACAAAGTCAGGCAAACTGAAACTTTCCTTGTTTTGTGCTCTGCTTTCTTATGCATTTCTGAGTTCATTCAGCAGAAAGATAACTGGTAAATTACTGTATTAAAAGAAAAGTTCTGCATTTATTTTAGAGATTTAGAACTGTCCTTATTGTATTTCAGCTCTGCCACCCATCCCAACCACTAATAGGCCAGGTGGTGCAAAAATGCCAAAACAGAACGTTCTTGAAAGCAACCAAGGATACAGTGAGCTGCGGAAACAGAGGAAGACCAAGACAATACACGAAGACAAGCAGCTGGAAAAGAGGCTGGATCGCCTGGAGCGGGAGATCAGTCAGAGCCGCGCTTCCTCAAACCTCAGGTCCTCTGCAGGTAAAACGAAGGAAGTGTCAAAGGAAAATAAGTCTGAAGGTTTAGTGAAGGAAATGATTGCAGCATTTTGTAATTAAAAAACAAAACATAACAAAAACTCTAAAGTTAAAAAATATAAACGTTCAATAAACAGAAGTTCAAGTTCTACCATGATTTCATTACATCCCAAAACATAAAAATCACCTGGGAAATATCATCAGTATTGAGGAAATGTCTTCCAAGAATCCTTCCACTTGTTTTGTTGTGATTTATAAATGAATCAGTGAGACATTATGATGGATTATTAGAACCATAGCAAATTAAAAAGTAATTTTCTGGTAAAAAAAAAACAAAAACAAACAAACAACAAAATCTTGTTTTAGGTCAACTTGAAAAGTAGAACATTTTCATAGAATTTCAACGTTTTTTTCTAAAACATGTTTTTTTCTAAAACATGTTTTTTTCTGCAAATTTCTTTTTAAAAAAAATTCTCAGATTTGGGTTTTTCTCAATTTTTCAACTTAAGGAGCTTAGAGATGTCAGTGTTTTTTTTCTTGAAAATTTCTGAGATTAATCTAAAAATTCCTGAGTTTTTTTGGTGCAAATTTGCTCCAATGTTTTTTACCTAGCTACTTTGGCCCTAATATGGAGCCGTATCATTCTGAGAACCGATAATATTGAACACCCTGCTGTGCTGTGCTAGCAGGCAGCCAGACAGAGCTGCAGAGCCTGAGGCAGCACGCGCAGGAGCTTGTGGACGAAAACGACGCCCTGAAACTGACCGTCCACCGTCTGAACGTGGAGCTGAGCCACTACCAAGCTCGCTTCAGACCGCTGTCCAAACAAGAGGTATGAAAAACTCAGTCGACTTGGGCAATGTGCTGAGAACAAGAGCTAATCAAACTAATGAGTTCAATCAAAATCACCCAACTGTAGCACTAATGAAACATGCTCTTTGTAAAATAACCATGCCTGTGATATGACATGTTTCACTTCAGTGTGTTTCTGGAAATATTTGTTTCGTAATCTCATATGATTTAATCATATTTTGTGTTTATTTCACCATTTCCGCCTTTCTAATCAAGCTTTACTGATAGACATCCAGTGTCTTCCTTTTGATCCGCAGCCCTGCTGAGTGAAAGGAGGTTTTCTTGTCCCTTCTTCCAAGTCTCCGCTCCACTGCGTCGTTTAACCGGCGGATGAAAGCAGACCTGTGCTTTTAATCATGACTAGCTCATGCTGTTTTTTTTTTTTTCACATCAGGAGTTTTTTTGTGCTCATCTCTGACTGTTTGCTTCCAATGTACCAGCATGTCTTTGTGAGCGACTCATTAGTGACAGTGGAGGTGAAAAGAAAAGACAGGTGGGGGTGGATTTAAAATAGCTCTACATTACAAAAGAATAAATGAATAAAGAAAGAAAGAAATAGGGTAATGACAGAGGAAGAACTTTATGACAAAAGCATAAAGCTAAACTTCAGTCAAAACAAAGCTTTACAGTTAAATAATATGTGAAATAGGCTTTCCAGCAAGCTTTTCCCAGCAAAAGCTTGCTGGGAAGCCTGTTGTGTTAGACCAGTGAAACACAGAACTGTACTGTATTCCTTGTCTTTCTCAACATGCTCCTTAAGTGTTTGAACTGAAAGAAACAGAAAGCAAAGCATTGTTTTTGCAACATATTACCAGTTGCAGTCAGCTAATCCCACTCACTCCTTTTGTTTTCCTTGCATAAACATCGTCTTTGATATGGACCATGATTTCTTTCAGTGAGCTCAATGTGAACCTTCCTAGTTAAAAAGGTTCCATCTATGATGATGTCACCATTTTGTTGTTGCATTGTTCTGAATATACAATCACAAATTTTAAGAAAAAATAACAACTAACTTTTTTGTTTTGTCTTTGGCTGAATTTCATCTAGAGCTCCAAAATCAAAGGCATACCAAGCACAGGTTCTCCCCCTCCATGGCTGGTTAGTAAAGATAAAAACCTTTTTCTGATTCTGCTAGGTTTAAGATTTTTCTCCTGTTATTGAGGCAAGAAGGACAATTAGCGTTTTTTTTTTTTTTTATGTGACATAAATAAACGGAATATTTAGCATATTTTCTTTCATCATCAATATCTTTTTAGGTTGACATGAAGTATTTATGCCCTTTGCTGCTGGCCTATGAAGACAACATGAATGAGAAGGAAGCTCTTCTACAAACTACTGAGGTAAAACTGTTTTTAATACAGGTCATATGCATTTCTGTTTTTTTTTCCTTCTTCCCACATTTACAAGAAGCTCTCTGAAGGTGTAAAAAGCTTCACATTCTCGAATAACACATCAAAATACATGAAAGTTTAGGAAAAAAGAACACATTGGCTCGGTCTCTACTCGGAGGAGCAAGGACTGAGAAAAATAAGGGCTCTCTTTTTGCTTGGTTTCTGTTTCATTTTCCCAGTTTATATGATTTTCAAGGTTGGTTTCGTCTGTGTGTTTGCCTGCTACAGGAGGAGGTGACCAAGTTGCGAGCAAAAGTAGACGATGTGATGAAAGAAAACAAGAGGCTCCGTGATGAGATGGATGCGGTCAACCATAAGGACTGGTAAGAAATGTTGGATCATCAGAATCAGAACTTATCCTGATGATAAACAAAGACAAAAAATGAAGTGCCTTTTTCTTCTGCCTTTCTGGCCTTTTGCTCTGTTAGTTTAATCAGTCAAAAGAACAAAGAGAGACAATCACTTTTGTATCTGTCCTTAATTATATAAATTAGCATTTAGAGAGTTTTTCCAAACAAATTTATCAACATGACATCACTGATCACTAATTTGGCTTCATATTTGTCATGTTGATCTTCAGAACATTGAGGCCAATTTGAAAAGTGCTGTTTCAAGTAAAAAAAGTTTACATATAAACCTCTTTACTGTTAGATGCATTAAAATAAACATTGAGATTATTTACTCTAAGTTGATTGTGCATTACTTTGCAAAAATACTAATTTATTTCCATTGATCTAATTTTTACTATTGTATTTGTATTTACTTAATATTATTGTTATTATAATTATTATTATTGGAGCTGTCATTTTCCTTCAACTTGACAATTATTCACTACTTTGTGTTGGTCTATCAAAACTGCACTGACATGAAATGTGCAAAATAACTTTGCAAGGCACTGGATATATTTATTTTCAGTTTTACCTCAAAAGAACAGAGGAATTAAAAACAAAAACCTCCCTTCAATCTCTCTGCAGCCAGATGATTCAGCAGCAGGCGCTTCTGGTTTTGCAGGAGAACCAGGCCCTGATTGGTCAGCTGGAGGCTCAGCATGAAAAAGCCAAAGCCAACCACGGCAAACACCAATCTGAAGGTGCTGCGAAAAAGGGCTAACGTAAACTGAAACGCATTTCTCAACAGCCAAGAAAACAGCAACGTGAAAGTTGTGAAATAAAATTCCAAACTGAACAATCTTTTGGTTTCTCGCCTACTTCTTTTCCTTTACACTGTTCTCCTCCTTCTGCCTCTCTCTGTAGTCTCGAAAATGTCTAAGCAGCTTATGATGTTGGAGGAAGCGAACGAGCGTCTGCAGGAGGACCTGGAAGGAAGCAGACGGGATTTAAAGAAACGCACAGAGGAGGTCGAGCTGCTGCAGGCTCGCCTCAAGGATGTCGTCACATGGGATGAGCACTGCAGCATTGCAGGCAAACTCAGAAGGTGCTTCTACAGCCTCTGCTTTGATTAATATTACCACCTTTAAATGATTAACTAGCATTAAAACAACTCTGTTCCATTCGTCTGATTGAGAATTGTGAAATTGTGGATTCCACCCTATTACTTTTTTTCATGAATGTACAGTTTAGTTTATTTCAATATTTCAAAGCAAACGATTTGATGCGGGAAAAATAAGATAAGATTCAAGAAGTCCAACATTGCATTCTTAATTGCCGCAGAGACCAGCGAGGGGATGAATTATTTAACAAGAAAGAGAGTAATTAAAGCCAGCAGAGTTCTGCAAATTAAGAAGAAAAAATTAGCACTCTCAAAGAAAATGAAAAAATTACCAAAGCTTTGAGCCTTTCAAGGTTTTGTGGTTTTTTTTTTTTCGCAGACTTTATATAGCCAGAATCCAAATGAAAAAAAAAACAAGATATCAACTGGAATATTATAAAAAATCTGAAAACATTTTCCTTGAAACTTGTTTACCCAAGTGAATCCTTTAACGCTTAAATCTGCTCCTGACTTTCAGACATCTGGACGAGCAGGAGAGGAGAAATAAGAGCGAGAAGGAGCAGTTGCTTCTAAAAATGTCCAGCCTGCAAGAGGAGAACAAGAGTCTGGCTCTGGACAAAGCCAGCCTGGCTGCTGATGTGAGGACAGTGAAGACTGAGCTGGAGCGCTGCAAACAAGCAAACAGGTACCAAATGGGCTTCTTCTGGGTCCACCGACTCCTTTATCATCACCTTCATCATTCTAGGAAGGTGACAGTATGTGTTGCTACAAGGTACTTTTGTCATATTAAAAGTAACTTTTAAAAATAGCAACCTTAAAGCAAGTATATTAAACATACTTTTTTTTATAAAGCCCACATTTTTGTATTAAAGGAGCAGTATTATGTTCTCCAGGTACATACTTAATTATTTTATAGAATAATAAAGTATCTATGTCACTTCAGTTGCTTTAAAAATGCTTCGTATATCGAGCAAATGTGACTTAGAAGATATTTTACTTCCTGATTTAACGGCTTGAAATTGGGACTATATCTATTTAAAAATTCCTGCTCTTTCTGAAACTTTGCCTTCAAGAAATCATGACAACGTCGCTCCTTTAACCATGTTTTTACCAGTGCACACAGAGAAGTAGTTCATACGATGAGCTCAACAACTGTGCTGTCCCGCCAGGTGTTTGCTAATTGTTGATGGCTAGTTTGAAGGAGCTGAGTGGGAGAGGTGAGAAGGAGTATTTCTCAAAGTTGCATGAAAGAATTGAGGCGACACTCCAAGTATGTTTTTGATGAGGAATAAAGTTGATTTTATAAAGTACTACACCTATAAAAAGTTTAAGTTTAAGTGCAAAATCATTATGGTTAACACAAAAGAGAGGCTTGAAAACATCTGTCTGTGTGTAATCTATTCAATGTTTCACTTAGTGCATTGAGTGGTCCAGTAAATTATTTAGTTTCCTTCTGGCTGATCACCGATAAGGGCTTGACCAGACGATTTGTTCTGTTCTGCACGTCATATAATTCATATGCAGATTTTATTGCAGATGATGATTTTCTTAATTTATTTTTTAATTTTAATCATGGACTCAAGCTGTTCTAAAATTTCCTTTGCTCTGGGAGCGTGCTGGGTTCCAGCAGGCTTGCTCTGAGATTAATGTGGAGTTTTTCATTCCGAGGTGTGAAGACTGTCAAAAAGGGTGTTGGATTAGCCGAGGATTGTCTCACGTCCTTGTACAGATGGAAACGTCTGAAGATATCCAGTTAATTCTTTGTCTCTCTTCTGTTCTCACCTCCTCTCTCTTCCTCTCTCTCGCTGTCTCTCTGTCTGCCCAACTCCTTTTTCCTTAACCCTGCTACATTTTTCCATTGTTTTATCTCCTCTCTCCATTTTACATTGTAGCTTTCGTCTCCTGTTTAAAATTCTCTCACTTGTTAACTCACACAATCGTTCCTGTCAATCAATTAGGAAGGCAGAGGGGAGGATGAGTACGCTGAGGAGACAAAAGGAAGAGCATTTGCTGAATGAGGAGAAGACTCGTCATTACCTGGAGGCTGTTGTTTCTGTCGCAGAGCACATTTCCAGGGAAAGAGACCATCTATTGCACACGGTACTGCTGATGTTACTGCTGTTCCGATATGGACTGCTTCACAAGTAACATGCACACACTAACAGCGCAAAACTTTGCCAATATTTCGCCAGTGGCGAAAAGACACAATTTCGTAATTAAAATCACACGTGAATAAATTAGTTCAATAAAAAAAATGTCACATGATTTTGCAAACACTTCCTGTTGTCGTCTTCTCTGTGGTTTCCATTGCAAAATAAACCAATAAAACCTCAACCAAATGCAAAAAACTTAGCAAAAAATTTTTATTTGATCAAAATTGCCATGTTTTTGTGAAGCAAATTGATTTTCTAATTGTCAAATTGTGCAATTATGTGGTCAAAACAGCTATAAACCGACATAATTTCTCTTGCAGTAGAGTGTCAACACTGTTTTGAGCTAATTCGTTTTAGCTTGCAAGAAAGCTTGCAGTTGATTTGAAATACTCGCCAACATTCATCAAAATAAATAGTTTATTTATTTTGTGATCTGACTGATTATCAGGTGTGCAGGTGAACAAAATATGAAAGTCTGGGCAGGAGCACGTAGCACAGAATGACAGACAGATGTGAGCCGTGTTCTGGCAGGCGATTTAGCACGTCAGATGAAGCTGGGGCTCATATGTATTAAGAAACTAATGGATACAAAACCGAGCAGCTGTGCAGCATCTGGGTGATGGCAGCCAATTTATATAGGCTTAAAAAATCCCAGAAAGCACATTGTCTGAACTTGTTGTTTAACCCTCAGGTAGCTTTGCCCCTTCTGTCTGGAAAGTACAGACAATGATCAAGCCAACAGTGGGTTCCATGGACACAAGTGCAAATAGAGAAGGTGGCAGATAATCTAGCACATAACCTTTTTACTACAATTCACTTCAGTTTAATTATGTATTTTAGGTATTTGCTAATGTAAAATTCTTCAATAGCTGTATTTAATCTGCTTAGATTAAACATGACCACATTCCACTAAGCTTATTATGCCATGTAATGTGATCATCCACGGAACTGCACTCTATTTAACTATGAAAATTGCACAAGCAATATGTCAAATCAGGGGTGTCCGTAGTGCGGCTCAGGGGCCATTTGCAGCCCTGCGATTGATTCCGTGATAGTCCGTTTGGTTTATTACAAAAGACAGTGTATTTTCCACCTTTAAATTATGGACATATGGAGATTACCCTACAGGAGTTGATGTGTGTCCATTGACTATAGAATAAAAGTAATAATAAAAAAAATGTAAAAAAAAAATATATATATATATATATATATATATATATATATATATATATATATATATATATATATATATATATATATATATATATATATATAATTACAGAATGATTTCCTTTACCAATATTTATTTAACTGTATTTAGTAAAAATCTTTTTTTACTTTGATATTAAAGATTTTATTTTCCTTAAAGCCAAATGCTATTGACCATAATTTCTTCTCTAAAGCCAATAAAATGGGGAAACACAATTTACCATAATATGACAGTCATATGCTCTGACCATTAAAAACCTTTGTTTTTTTCCAATTCTCCCCCTTTCCTCCATGTCTCTCTCCCAACTCTGTGTCCTTCCCTTCCTTTCATAGCTCAGTAACCCTCCATCTTCCCTTTCTGCCCTCTTAGGCATCTGGACTCCAGCAGGAAAAGCAGGGATTTGTCAGCAGAATTCTGAATGGTACGGTCCGCTTTGGGAAGCTTCAAGAGGAACTCAAAGTAAGCTCTTTTTCCTTCTCTGTTTCTTTCCTTTCCCCCTTTCTTTGTTGAAAGTCTGAAGTGTGATTTTACTCACATTTCAGGGGGTCGTGATTGGCTTTTAGGATTGGAGATGTAAGATTTGAGACAGATCTAAATGCAAACAAGAAAGTAAAGTTCCTCGAGGCTGCAATGATGGCTGAATTTGGGTGCCTAGCATTCATATTTGTGGAGCTTCGTCCAGCAGGTGTCTTTAGTTCTCAAAATGAAGGCCATTTTCTTGTTGATTCTGCTCAATAGAATCCTCATGTGTAGTTAATATTGATCAGCCCACTCTATCTGGATCAATGTCATTTACTGTTAACTTCTACTACTTGGTGCACACTGATTTCCGTCAGCTCTTTGTCTCGCAAGAGTGAACACTGGGAGCATTTTCATTGAAAGGAAGCAAAATCAACATTAATAAAATTATTTTTGAGAAACTGCATCACTGACGATGATGTTTGTAAACATAAAGCTGCAAGTGGCTGCAAAAATTCAAAATCCTACCAAGAACCTCTGGTCTAGTATCTTTCAAGTGAGATGCTCACACTTGAGTATCTCTATACTTGAAATAGTTTGAAAACTATTTCTCTTATTTCTTTTTAAATAAGAGAAAACTGACTTGCAAGTGCTTTATTTATTTAGTTTTTTTTTTTTAGCAAGAAACATGAGCTTGTTTTAAGTCAATAATTCCTTAATCTTGATGAAAAAGTGCTACTTCCACTGACAGATTATTTCACTTACAATATGTTAAAAATGTCATGTTACAAGTGAACTATTCTGCCTGTGGAACTAGTACTTTAAAAAAAAACTAAGTAATTGATGTAAAGCAAGCTCCTATATCCCACAAAATGACTTGAAACCGCAATTAGTGTATAACTGCCACTATGTTGAAGGGAATTATGAAACTTGTCATGCAGAATTTTTACTCTCCAGCTGTTTATTTGCCATTTTTTTAATCTGTAGAAGAAGAATCTGAAGAGTGACAATGCACATCTGCAGTTACAGTTAACTGCTTAGTAATGCAGCTTCCGCACAGCACACGGCACTGATGTCACGTGATCAAAGGAATGTGACTTGATTGGATAAAAGCCACACGATCAGCTCTGGCAGTGATTACCTAGGTGACGTTTTTACTGCCAAATTTAAAGGAAAAAACAAATGCACAAGATAAAAAGTCAGCGTTATGAGTTCAGTGTCTAATAAAACAGTCTATTTTTTACTCATGAGCGAAGCAAAGCCGCAGTCTGAGAATCAAAGCGACTGTCTGGATTTGGCTCTCTCGTCTGAACTGATGAGTGAACAGATGGTGGCAGCAGCTGGATGAATTCAGAAGTGCTCAGGGACGTTCTCTCAGGTCAAATCAGCTCCTCTCATCGCAGCAACATCCTGAAACAAATGCAGGATGTCTGCATTTGCAAAGCTCTTATCTGAGACTGTTCCGAGCTCTGAGGGCATTTTGGTTGCTGAAGGCAGATGATTTAAATTATGTCAAATTTCCAGCACTTGTTTTTCGGTCTGCTGAATGTTGCTACGCAGACATGAAGTTATATCTAGAGGAGGTACGGCATCACATTAATAGCATAGCATTTAAAATAAAAGGGATTTTCACCTGTTTCAGTCTCAAGTACACATATTGTAGCAGAATACAAAGGACTTTATTTTATTGTATATATATATTTTGTCCCATTTATTTGTTCACTTGGTCCAGACGTTTAAATAATATATGACAAGCTATCTTTTGTCACTTCTGCTAAATCTTGTAAGAAGATTTTTTTTAATAGAGAACTTCTGATCTGTAGCTACATATCAGGCAGAATATAAAAGCACTTTATACAGAGGGCTGTTCCTGTTAGCCTCGATATGCTAGGAGCCATATTTATCCTGTCACCACATACACTGATGGATGATGAAGGAAGTAAAATCTTCAAAGCAGTGCAGTTGTTGTTAGGGAGTGATGCCAGCAAAAAGCCTTCACTGTCGTACCATGATAAATTTCATTTATTTATTTTTTATTTAACCTTTATATTACCAGGATAAAATCCTAATTATTCATGAGAGTCCTGGCCAAGAGGCAGCAACCAATACATCAGATTTACATATGGTAACAATGCAGTTTGCTAAACTCTAGTAGGATTTTCACTGGAATTAATTACTCTTGCCCACCAGACACCAAAGACCAAACTCTCTCCTCAACCACAATCTCCAGAAACAAATAATGATATATCAAACATCACAGCCATGAACATTTCTCAGAAAAATCAGATAGAGTATTAGCATAATCCAGCCACTGACCCCGGTGTAACCCCATATATTTAAATGATGTAACTGTAAAGAACAAGAAATGCTAGTTTCCGCATTTTTCCTTTGCCCTCTTTCTATCCTCATGTTTCCTCTCAGCTTGTGGAACTTCACAGAGTTCCCTCTCTGGTATTTTGACTTCACTGAGACTTTTCATGGCGATGACATTTTAAAGTCCAGTGGTTTTCAGAAAGGTGATAGAACGTCATAAATCGATGCTTCATCGGTTGTGCAAGCCTCCCTTCTGTGAAGTGCCGAACTTCCTCATCCTCGGTATGGAATTCATCGAAAGGTGAATCTTAATGTTTCAGTTTTTGCCTTTGGCCTCCACTTTTTTTCTCTCACATTGAAATAATGATAAAACTGTTCTCAGATATTCTTTGCCTGGTATCAACCTATTAGCCTCACACCAGCTCATGAATTGTGTTATTTGGTGGTATAAAGAGAAAGCAGGTTGTCACTAAATTATTCACACGCGATTAATATTCATGCTGGTCCATCTCCTAGAAACACCTGAAAATCTTGCATATTTTATGGAGTCACAAGTTTGAATGACCCATGTAGTTCCTGACCCAGATTTACATTTTCTTTTAGGAAATCGAAATAGTCTCTTATTATCCCATCTCTTCTGTGTTGTGAAATTTTAATTTAACTTCTATGTTTTTAATTTAGTTAGCTCTGCCATCTCCTAGTTCTCCCAGTACAGACTCCTGAAATACACCACTCAGTCAGAAACAACCAGGAGGAGGGACTTGGCGCTGTCAATCACTTTCATGCTCACGCTCTACCCCTTGTTGGTGTGTTCACCACAACCTATCTTGACACGAATGCTAACGTTAGTTAGCATGACCACCAATGATGGCGGCTAAACAGTTTTCCTTGAATGATAAATGTTTCTCTGCCATTAGCACATTTAGCATCAGCACAGGGAGGAGGGTAAGGAGACTGATCTTTTCACAGATTATCTCAATCATATTATACTGTCATGAAATAATGACAGTTTTAACAAATCTGGAAAGACAATATATTTTATGTAAAAGTTACATACTGTAGCTTTAAATAATGCATCTGCATGAAACCTTGTATTTTAAAAATTATTCCTTTTGGAAAGTTTTTTAAAAGCTGCTAACAAATAGCTCTATCCTAATCATGTTATGTCCTGATAACTCACTGTTAGCTTTAGCAGCTAACAGATTCGCAAATTTCACAATTATTTAACAATGAATCCAACGAACAAAATGTGTTATTGTAATTCAGAGTGAAAATTCATGACTCTTGAAATATTGTATCCTCCAAGCCTTCCTGTGTGTTTGCGAGATTGATATCTATAATATAATAATAATTGTGATTTGATTTGTTATTCTCATTTAGTTGTCAGACTACATGAACAACATAGTTGGCTTGGTAGAAAAATACCTATAAGTTCAAGACTGTTGTTTTTTTTCTTCACGTTTTGCTTCCTAAAAATCATTTTTATTGATTTTTGAAGTATGACGTGAGTGTGCTGGTGTCTTTTCAAGCCTGATCCACTCGTGACAATAATTTTAATTCTTATTGCGCAGCAGTAGGTAGATTCAAAGACACACACTTTATATAGAAAATAATTCTCCATTTATTTTATCTTCTTATGGCAACTGTATGTAATCATGTGGTAGTAAGCAAACAGTGTACAAATAAAGGAAACTTTGGAGAGGGCATTGACACAGACAGAAATGTGCGATTAAAAGAGGTGAAGAACATATAAGAAAGAGAAACTTTAGGCTTTGGAGTTCAGCCGACTGTGTACTGTGAGAACATCAACATGTTCAAGTTTGAAGCTGATTTGTGGCAGTCAAACTGAAACATAAAGGAATTACTAGAATTTATATTAGACAGAAAGCCTTTCAGAAAGCACCTCCTAAATGGCTGCATTTGCTCTCTGATGACAAATAGTTTTAAATTTCAAAATTATTACTGGAATTTTATCATTAGATACATAAAACAAGTAATTCCAAAGCCCTCAGTTATCGACACACACACAAAAGAAGTTAAATTGACTCTGGCTGTGTGAAAGCCTGAAGGATGGAGTTTGTCAAATTATTTGGCATGGACTTGGCTCTGAACACACAAACGCTTTGTGTGTCTTTGAAACCCATACAATTCAAACCACCTTCTTTGTGAACAGCAGTGCAGCTCACATATCGGAATAATTATTAGAAAGTTAAACAGTTTTTAGCTTTCTCTGAGTTGCTGCTGGGAATATCAGTCTTTTTTGCATCAGTTCACAATGTCTTGCATGCAAATTTGACACAACAACGTAAAAAAAAATACATGGAGTTATTAAAAAAAAAAAAAAAACTTTTGGAAAATTGTTCAATCCTAAATACACAAATTTTAACTCCAGTCAGAACTAATTGGAAAGTATATGATTTACATAAAACAAATCTGTAGCTCATGTAGTATTATAACAGTATTCAAATCTTAGAACTAGAAATGCATAGGTATGAAAATTTGGGCCAATATCAATATCCGATATTAAAATTCCTGTTATGGCAATCACCGATGTTTATTGATATTATAGATGTTTTCTTTGTGAGATGACCACAATGAGAGATGGAGTCTCTGCTTCAGTTAAACAAAATGACTAACATTGGCCAATCCCATTGTTGGAGCAGTTATAGCAAAACCATAAGGGTTTGGAACAAACCAATCATTTATATCATCTATACAAGTAAATTTTGGAAAATTTTACTTTTTTGATTGTGCCGCATATGTAACTCCCCTTTTTCACAGGATTTGATTTCCTATATTCCTTTCTTATCTCATTTTGCTGCATAATAAGTAAATATGTTTTGTAATTTCAATGTTTGTCTCGTAAACGCATACTTCTTAAAGTTTTTCCACACTTTGCCAAGTTCCAAAAGTAAACTACAATGTACTTCATTCATGTCATGTCAGATAGACCAACACCAAGTTGACCATGTTTGTGCAGCAGAAGGAAAAAATTCATGCTTATCCAAATCTTTTTCAAAACATTTGCTGTTCACCCCCTCTGGCAAAGCTTGTTGCTGGAATTAAAGCTGCAAGTGCTTTCCACATCAGGGCACCTGATTTTTTTTGTGTGTGCATATTCTACTTTGCAAAACAGCTCAAGCTAAGTCAGATTAGACATAGTGTGTCTGTGAGTCAATCATTTTAACAGATGAGCACGCTTAAATTGATTCTATGATTGCAGTTCTGACTGTAAGTTAAGTGTTCTCATCCTTCTAAAAGGTGAAACACCGAATGTTGTTGAAGCATGACAAAATGAGACGAACTCAGTATCAGTACTTTAGCAATGTATGGTTATGTCATTTTCTCCTAAATCTGCTTGCGTGAAATATCGAGTGCCTGCTCTAAAAGACTGTAAGACCAGCTTATATTCACAATACAGAACAACTCAGGCACATACACAGAAACGTACATTACAGGACTGTAGGTATACTGCAGGCTCCAGTTGCTGGCTGAGCTTGTCAGTGATTCTGTTCCTCTTGACCAAACTGATATCGAAGCAGTAGGCGTGAAGAAAGCAGAGCACATCACTAAAGATAGGTTTCTGTTTCTTTCTGCGTGGTCCTTTCTATGCATGAGGACAGCTGCCTGCTAGGAGTGCTATTAAGCCCCATGAAGAGGATGATATCACCCTGGCTTTCTTACTTCTGGAGCTTACTTTATTCTTATCCCTCGGTCCACTGGTTTCCATACTCTCAGCCCCGGGCAAAGCAGTCACACATGCCCTGACACAGGCACTGACAGAACCCATACACTAGGCAAACTGTCAGACTCGATGGCACTAAGCTAACACATACGATTCCTAGAGTCACTCTCTGGATCACTAACAAATAGATTCCTAAGGGCAGCGAACCAAAGTATAAGAAACCAAGTAGCCACACCAGAATACGTGGGACGTGATTGCAGAGCTTCGAAAGCGCATCATGATCAGTGGGTCCGTTGGAACCGATTGAGACAGAGTCCAGGCTCTGGTCGGCGTAGATATCCGAGCTGCCATTGTTGCTCGGGGAGCGCTGCAAGTCCCTTTGAACCTCCATGATGGTGATGACCAGGCAGTTTGAGGAGTCATGGGATGGGCTGGTGGAGGACAAACTCTTTGGCGTCAAGACCACCTCTCTCTTCTTGTCCAAACAGCAGGACTTTTCTCGCATTGTCAGGTGGGACATGATGTTGACGTCGTCAGGCAGGGCGGAGACCTGGTACTCAGTGATTTCAGTTTGGTGTCGGCAGAAGGGGCAGGGAACGCAGCCCGCTCCGTCTGTGATGTCCAGAATCTTAACGAGGCATCGGGAGCACACCCGATGTAGGCAGTCCAGAATCTTAGGCTTCCTGTTGTTGGCATTGAAACGCTGGTAGCAGATTTTGCACTCTAATTCCTCTGGGGGAGGACAGTCCGTCTCTTCTGAAGTAGCCGGAGGACTGCTCATCTTCAAGTCATGTTCTGGGGGACACATATGGGAACAGATTGAAAAGAGAGTGTTAGATTTAGAAATGGTTATGTTTAGCTGAACGGTGAAGTCAGGGAGACATAGGGGAACAGAGAGAAGCAAGAGGATGTTTTAGTTCCCAGCGTGAAAAGGTCAGGATTTTGCCTTCTTCTCAGACTGCTCTGACTGTGTGTACCTGCTGGTGATGAATGATTTATGGCCTGGGAATTAGATCAGGGTGTCATCCCTGTGCCCTTACTGACAAAGCAAAACCCAGCGGTGATATTGATCTGTGGGGAAAGGTGATAGAAGGTTCTACTTCTTTAACATTTTCCCTCAGTTCTTGTCTGGACTACAGAGTTGTAGCAGTGGTTAGGAGGTCTTTGCTTTATTTCGACTTGTTCTGCAGTTTCTTTTGCATCAAATTTTGCTTTCATGTAGTTTATTTGAATATAAACTGTTGATTCATAGTCAATATTCAACCAAATAGCTGCCTTACTTTGGATTTATCCTTCTTTGCTGGATTGAATATTAGAAGACGATTGGTAGTAGCTCTTTGAAGGACAACTGGTGTCCTATCATTTAAAAAAAAGGTAAATTGTGATTCCATGGTAACAAAATGTTGCTTGTTTCTAGTGATTCAAGCTATCCTGCTTTTCTTGGAAACAGCTTCCTTCTAGATCCACTTATCAAGTTTTACGTAACATGTGGTTCTTTCTAAGGAACAAGATTCAACCTTTTATCAGACTATTAAGGTCTGGGCTCTGTCAAACTGTTATTATGTCGTTTTAATACGCCGATATACAGAAAATAGGGTTTCAGAGTTTAATCTGTAGGGATGCTTTGTGCTTCAGCTGGTATCAATTGGCCTCCTTCCAGTACGAGAACCTGAATGTGGAAGACTACTACCCGTATTGTTAGTTTATAATTAACAATATTGCGATAGATAAGATATGGTGACAAGCATGATAATAAAACTTACATGTTGTTTAATCTTTGGGCTCCTGGAATACTACACTGTGTTTTGAGCAGCAGGAGTCAGTTTTGCTCCCACTGAAGATGACTTTCCAGAATAATTGAAAGTAATCTCATATAAAATTCATTTTCCGTTTGATTTGAAATGCTTTCAGTTTGGACACAAAACCTGTTACTTTCATTCTGTCCTTCGAATAGGTAAGAAAACAGTTCAAGTTTCACCTCCGACTAGCACTCAGATTCTTTTATCCACTAATCTCAAAGTTTTATCCTTTGGACTAACAAAGCCTTCTTTGTCTGATCTTTTAAAATAATAATAAAAAAGAAATGTAAGGTGAGGTCTTTAAGTGATTCATGACATTATTTGTATGTCATGTCTTAAGACAAAGCGTACTGCAAAATGAAGGACCAAAATGACAGCATTTTTGTTTTTCTGACTGTTTTCACACTTTTATTGCTGCAGCATTGGTCAAAGACACTCTGATGGGTCAGGGCTAGTTTATACTCGGCCTTCGATGTGCTCGCAGACAGCTGAATACAGCACTGACTTGTAGTTTCTGTGTGCAAACTAAGTGGCCTGGGGGAGGCTGCAGCTTTCGGGAACGTGCTTTCTTTATAATCCTGCTTCAGACGAAACTAACATTTCCTACGGTCAGTGCCCGTCATTTCCAGTAGTAGCTGATTATTGCCCTGATTTATTGATGTATTATAAATATTTATGTCCATTGTATGTATATATATGTGTATAGAGTACTGCACATTTTTCATTTAGCTACTTAAGCCTTATTTATCCAATATTAGAGACGCATTAAAAGATGCTAAGCAACACAGCATTCCCTTAGTGTGCGCTTGTTCATTTGTGGCAAATGATCCATATGCAGCTAAAAAAACACTTCTGGTATCAACATGTGATGAGCTCAGCCCCTTCTGCCTGAGTTAAGATCAATATAGGGCAGGACTGATCTGTTGAGGTTTTTTTTCTTTATTATTTTGATTAACTGGCTCATAATTGGATAGCAAAATGTGCTTAATATGAGATTTTTTTTCAGAGAACTACTGCTCTGTGTAATGTTCTTTTAGCCAATGTTCTCCAGTTAATAATTAATCAATCACTAAAGTAGTTGACGATCGTTTCAATAATCAATTAATTACGATTAACCTGATTAGTCGTCTCAGCCCTGTTGGTCTTTGTATGTTTTAAACTAAATTAACTCTCATATCCGTATTTATCCCTTTGTTGTATCTTTCTTGATTAAATTTATGTTTGTATCCCATTCTGAAGATGTACATCCAATAAATAACGAGCATCAATCCGTTACAACTCAGCAATGTGCCGGTCAACTTAGGGTCTTTGCATTCAGCCAGTTGGTTTGACAGCCATTGACTCACTGCCCAGATTGTCAGTCAGACTGTGATTGTACTTGGTCTCCTGAGCTTGTTTTCACTGCAGCATAACATCATTTCAATTCAAGCACCGGTCATAGCTCCCAGACTTCAGTTTGAGTTGCAACCACAATGTTTCCAAGAAATGTATACTTCTTCTTCAATTTGAGGAATTTATTATTAGTTTCTCCAAAGTGTTGCACGCGCAACTTATGTGTTTAGTACAATCAGTTCTTCTTCTATTATTCATTTCCTAAAGGATGGTGCAGGACTTCTGTGTATTCTGTAATGTATTCTCCGACAGTGGCAATCCGCAAGGGACGTACAGCCTGTGGCTAATTAAAAATGAATTAGTATAGGTTAACAGGGTTTGCCGGAACTGCTGAAAAGGGCTTTGATTTATCGTTTTGAAAGTGTTTGGTCCTGCATATTGGCTATTTTCTAACACTTGTGTCAATGCATTAACCAGCCCTCTTCCGATCATGGAGAAGCAATGTGAAGGAAAAACTGTCGTCCATTCATTTACGATCATAAAATATACATTGAATAGGTGAAGACTGGCAAATGGCCAACAGGCTCCTCTTTGACTTGCTGACTGTTAGATATTTCTGCAACAGGTGTGTAGCGTTAAAAATCCCCCTGAAACATGTCAGAAAGAAGAAGCTGCTTGAGCCGTACCAAGAACATAACTCCGAGCTCCGTATATCAAGTTGAACAGAAAACCAAAAAAAAAAAAAAAACACGTTTCAGAGCTTCTTTTAGGTGACATCATTTCTCATATGTCTGGACTAATTTAGAGATCTAATTATTGTGACACACAGATCCACAAGGGCTTTCAGCCTCTGAACCTGGCAGTGAAAAATATGCATACTGCAATTAGCGCCAAAAGAGATTTCTTTCATTTTGTGCACATTACAAATAGCTTGTTAAAAAAAATCACCCTCCTATATTCTATCCTCTGCATTAATCTCAGGAACTGTATTTACATTAACTCTGTTTATATAGTTTTGTATCTAAGTGGATTATGGGTCAAGTCAAAGCCATGTTTCCATTTTATGTGTTGTAAAGCCAATATTGTTTGCATCCCCAGATTTAATCTGGTATTGGGGTGTTTGTCGGCTGAGAAAACACATTAACATATTTTCATATTAGCATACAAGAATTAGCTAAAATACTGAGTTAAATTCTGTGCTTTCGCTCGGGATCAGACTCTAAAGTTAGAAAAGGAAAGCATGCACTAAAATGTGAGAAAATTACGAAAATGTTGCCATTTTTTTGGAGTACGGATGTCTGCTGTGGGATTTTTTTCTTCCAAGATGAAAAAACTTCCAATTGCCTTTGTCTTGCTTGTCAGCCCTTCATCCACCAAACCCCAAGATACACACATTTACGTCTTTTGTCCGCCTCTTCTCTGTGCAGATTGTTACGGAAAGTGTTGACCTTTGCTGTCAGAATGTCCTCTTTGTGAATCACCTCAAATACATCAAAAGACGCTGATATCGCTGTTGTCAGAATATTCAAATTAATTGAGAGCCCAACCTGACATCAACATTATTAAAATCAATAACACGTATAAAACTCAGCAGCTTCAAAGTGCAGGGAAATAAAACATTATAACAAATTATTACTCAGTGTCAATGTCCCACCTAACTCGGTCTCTGTTAACTTCTACACACTGAATGTGTTGTTTTTTTTCTCAGTTTTAGGATTCAGCGTTTTATGAAAACACAACTGAATGTGTGTGCCGTTATGCCAAAAGCGTGCGTTGTTTGAATTACTGTGGGGATTTGGTTATTGTTTTGTGTTTCTTTTCTTTGATTAGGCCAGCATTCACTCTCAAAATTTCTACACCTCTTCTCCTTCCACCTCCAGTCATGACAGTAATGACAAATCAGGTATTTTTAGTTTTTCGGCGTGTCAGGATTATGCCTATCAATGCATATTTCATGAGCAGCCTCTGTACCAATGCATGTGACCTATAACTGGGTATGTGGCTTCCTGCCAGCTGATGCAGGTAGGACTGGATAGCGTAAGGCAGAGAGAAGAAAACAAAAAACAAAACAAACCAAGACAACCAGAATATGACCTGCTGCAGCTGCCGGTTATCTCTGATCTCAGCATAAGGACTAGAGTTGTCAAAGGGAAAATACCTTTTTAAAAAGCTTTGCTTGCATTCTGCAGAAGCTGATCTTTCTGCAGTTTTAGAAACTGCTTTATTTCCTCTGCGGCTATTTAAAAGCCGTATGAGTTGCCAGCTATGGAAGCTGTGTCTTTATTTGCTTATGTAAATACAGCCGCAACCAAGCTATCAACTGCTGACGCGTTAGTGACTAATTTATACAAAATCTAGAATAAAAAGCAGCCACATCAGACTTTCAAACTCTTTCATGTCCTCATCAAAATGCAGCTCACAAGCGAAACGACTTATTGGTTGAGCCGGCTGCTCACTGATCGCAAATAACTCTGTTCTACAGCAGGAACGGGATCGTGCTTTCATGCCAACTAAAATATTTTTGCTTCAGCAAAGTATTAGATTGTCATTTTAGGTGCATAAACATCAAATCCTAAAACTGGGTAATATGTTTTCGCCATGTGTGTGTATATATATATATGCCCTCACGCCTCAGCTTTATTTTCATGTTGAGAAAACATATCA